GCGGCGCACAATTGGCCTAGTGTTGTCCAGGGTAGGGGATGTAGCTCAGTTGATAGAGCATGGCGTTTGCAACGCCAGGGTTGTGGGTTCGATTCCCACGGGGGACCAGTAAAAAGAAAGACTAAAAAATATATATATGTATTCAGTAACTGTAAGTCGCTCTGGATAAGAGCGTCTGCTAAATGACTAAAATGTAAATGTGTACATACGACTAATACAACTTGAAACAGACTACCAAAAAAATCAAACAAACATTATATTTCTTCTGTTAAAAACAAAACCTCCAAATCCAATCCCTAGTCAGGCTCAGGAGCCTGGGAAGGCGGCACATCTTCCATTGCCAATACCCCTTGCAGATCTTCCGCTGTGAACTCCTGAAGTCCCAAATACTTGCAGCCACAATGATGTCCAACTTCTTCGATTTCTTTGATACTTTGATACTTGTGCCGTACAGTTAATAACAGTTGCAATGTACGCTATAAAATCCACCTTTTTTAAACACAGCTTATCTGGTTCTCTTGCTTGACACACATTCACAGGCTGTGGTGCACTGGGTCTTTACTAAACATCCACGACCATATCTTCAACACTGTCACTTGCTTTCTCAACTCTTTTGGTTGCCTCCGCATAGGAGACCTGATGGACTATCCTGGCTTTCGCCACCTCGATTTCCTTCACCTGACCTTTTTGTTTACAACTGGACAGCCATTCTCACCCATATACCATAGCAGGAAAGTCCTCATTGAATGGCTACTACACATAACACAAGGTTAGGTAAATGTCTTGAGAGCCTAAAAAAAATATGAGAAACTAAAACAACACAAGGATGAAGTGACTGTCATTATGGTAGTCTTTGTTGTGATTTGTAAAGTGTCAATAAGAAAAACAGCATAATCCAAACAGCAAAACCAACATAACATATAATCAGTTATCAACCAGAGGAAAATAACATATGTGTGCACGTTTTCCAAACCACACTCCAACATTTGAATATTTACTGTAGGGTGCCATGCGTGATAGGTATTGATTTACCTTCCTGGAAAGACACTCGACCAGCTAGTGTGAGGAAGTAGTCCTTGAGGTTGTTGTGCACGTCTATAGCAACTCTGGTTGCCATGTCTGCCGACATGTTTCTTGGGGTCCAGGAAGCTGGTGTCCCCTTGTACCACCTGTCTCCACTCTCCTGGACACAGGTCCCCAGTGGGTGTGGAGTGGTCCACAAATGTTGGGTGGATGTACCGTGTTGATGGTTCTGTGTTTTCAGTGTCTGTAGTGTCTGTGGTGCCAAGTTAGTTGTGGAGGGCCATGCAGGCCTTCACAATGGTCCCAGCTTTCTCTGGGGCAACCTCAAGGGTTTGTCCCAGGATCCTCCATCTTGCAGCAAGGATTCCAAAGCAGTTCTCTGAAAACCTTTGAATAAAACAAGTGTTTCCATTAGTATTGAACAGGTACATGAAGGCTATCAAATGTGTACTGTAACAACTGTGTAGCCTATGCTTTGGACATAGGCCCCCATCTTCTTACTGGGACTTTTATGTGAGGCATATAACTACAACGTCTATATTGGTATAACTTTCACATCATATGTATAGTCACATGCATTTAGCGTATCTTACCTGGATATGGTCGCATCAGGGTTACCCTCAGAGGGAATGCCTCGTCTCCCACGAAGACATATGGGGTCTGTGTTTGGGTTCCCGGTAAGCACTCTGGCCTTGGTAGTGGTAGCTGGCCTTCAATGAGTTGGGGGCCGAATTAGCTTAGTGCGAAGATTCCCGCATCTCCCTCCCCACAATATGCGCCCATGTTGATCATGGTGAAGCGGTACTTTGCATCGCAGACTGCCATCAGGACCACTGAGAAAAACCCCTTGTGGTTATAGTACTCGCTGCCCGAGCTCTTGCACAAAGCGGATAATTCCAATGCTGCTGAAGCAAGTTGTAAAATCTGGCAACCGATAACTGAAAGTATTGAAAATGTCTTTCCTCGTCAATGCTTCTTATAAGTTGGACAAGTATTGGAGTATTCTCAATTGTCCCTTCTTGTAGTGTTCAGTGGATGAACTCACCATTTTCTCCGTCATTTTTCTTTCTCCTACTGAGTAGTAAGAGCAGTTCAAGCTCTTGCTGTTCAAGCCCTAGCAATTGCAATTCATAGAGAGACATGTTTGCTTCTGTGGTTAAAAGTAGTGTCGAAAAGCATAGAACACCAGACTAGCCAGACATGTAGCTTGCTAGTGTTTGTAAACAAAAAGCATTTAACACCGGATCCGAAAGTTCAAATGTTGTCGCTAGCTACGATCAAAGAGTACCTTAGACCCTCTTGCTTGGTAAGCTACTCTAGCTCCCCAAGCCCCCTAGTGGATATACACTACACAAGGTGTTGTAGAAAATGATCAAACAAACAAAGTACTTTCAGAGTTTTTGTAGAATCAGGATAGACTTTATTATACAAGCAATAGAGCCGAGCTGGTCTGCAGAGCAACTGCCGTCACAGACTTGGAGCTCTCTTTTTATACAGCTTCATCTTTTCATATCATATCTGAGCCACTATGGTCACTTTGTCTAGCTTCTTTCCTGTCTATCCCCATGTCTGCTTGGTCTCCTTTTCATATGATATTGGAACCCCCTCTTTATCCAAACAGCCACCCTCCCTTGACCTGGAGCCACCATGGTTTTCTTCTTGTGGCTATGTGTATCAGGTCATAGCGCACAAACAAGTGATAACTTTAGTTCCGTGGGAGACGAGGCACCTAGTCGGCGGCAGGTAGCTTAGTGGTTAAGAGCGTTGCGCCAGTAACCGAAAGGTTGCTGGTTCTAATCCCCCGAGCCGACTAGGTGAAAAATCTGTCGATGTGCCCTTGAGCAAGGCACTTAACCCTAATTGCTCATGTAAGTCGCTCTGGATAAGAGCGTCTGCTAAATTACCTAAATGTAAATGTACTCATATCTCCACACAGCTGCACCCTTGGAAGATAGTAAAAGACAGGATGAACTGAAAAACTGTGGTCACTCTGAGGCTCTTTGTCTAGGATGAACTGAAAAAACGATGGTCATTCTGAGGCTCTTTGTCTTGACCTTGTGACCAGGTTACTCAGAAGCAACGAGAAATGGAAACAATACAGGTCTATCTGTTCCTGAAGTTTATCTCCATCCCATGTCCTTGACTACACACCAGACCAGCTGCAGGGAGCTAGAGGGAACCATCCTTTCTCAGAAGCACACCATTTGCACTAAAGAAATGTATCTACTCTTGTTAAGCATATTATAATATATGTAATGGAAAAATACCTATAGAGCCATTTCATCATGGCTCTGTTTGAACCCTTTAATTGGTTCTTAATCCATAGGCATATAGGGCATATAGGCGTTTCATTCTACAACATACATAATTCATATATAGGTTTGTTATGTTGTCTGCCCTTAAGTGAGACAGAGTAGTTAACTAAAAATCTCCAATAAAGGCAGACTTCCTCTGTGGGTGGAACGCAACGACGATGTGGACAAAAGTGCGCGCTGCCCCCAAATACCTGACTCCGCCCTTGCATATGCATGCACGTCGATCAACGAAGTGAAGCTTGTAGCCACCTTTACAGGGCACTCCATGGCTGCGTTTAGACAGGCGTCCAAATTCTGTTCTTTTCCACTCATTGATATTTTGACTAATCACATCAGATCTTTCACATCAGCTCTTTTTCAGAATATCAGAATTGGGCTGCCTGTCTAAACGTAGCCCAAGAACTCTGGATCATGATCACCACAATTGTAGCACTGACCTTCTTCACTCCGATCTTCAGTATACATATTTCATCTGTCCACATTTGCAACATGGCCAAATCCTTTACAGTTGTTAAACTGTAGAATTTTGGGGACGAATAGTTTTACATGCTGTTACATGCGTAGGGAAGTGTTCTTTGTCAAAAAACAAAAGAACCAACAGACTTTCCTCATTCACCATTCTGGTCAGGTGACGGGCACTAACCCCACCTGATATTCTCTTCCTTAGGTATTTAACCTCAACTTCCATCGACACCCCGGAGATGACTCCCTTAACACTTCAGATTTGTCAAGATTCTTGTGATTCCCACTGCACTCTCTCTCAATTCCTCAGAAATACAATTCATCAGAATTAGCTCACGACCGGTCACTCGAATTGACTCCACTTTTCTCGGAGCACCTGTTTCACCTTCCTCAAGACCTCATATGGATCTCCCAGCTATTCATCCTTATCCAAAACACATATCCTGTCTGCATTACACTCATTATCCACTTCAATTTGAGACAATTTCCTTTTTGTTCCATTCCTCAACACTAGTGTTTTCCATTAATCTTCCCCAACCTTACTTGACGCGCTTTGTTTCAAACTCGACATCCATTTCCATTTCTGCTGACCGGTTGAGCCCCAGTCCCCACGGCACTACACCCACTCAAGGCAAGCTACCACTAGTTTGCATAGGTTAATGATCGCTACAATTAAATATATTATTAATAAAAAAACTCCAAAAATGGATGTACCAATCCTAGATTTCCCCTTTAACAATACTCCTCTTACTAATGTTGCGTTCTGAGTGGAAAGGTGGTAATTACCATTTGGAGATGCATTCACGTGCTTTTAATTAATAGAGAAACGCCGATTGGCTAACGGCCAACAAGTTGCGTCAACCATAAACTAAAAGTACAGCTATCATGCTTGTAAACAAATTATAATGTTCAAAAACCATATTAATAGATTGCTTTTTATAAATGTTTTGTTGCTACATTTAATTGCCGAAAATGCTGTTATCGAGGTAATTTGCTTAGTAGGTGAGTTCAGAGGTCAGCATGTGGGAGAAATCAGAGCTCAGAGATGATAGACAAGTTTCCCACTAGTAATTACGAGTTGGAGGGGTGTTCAAGTGGATTTTTCCCAGACGTATTTGGTAAAACCAACCTTCCCACTTGGTTACGAATGCAGCATAAGCACACAGAAAATATCAATCCAAAACTTTATTTCAAAGATATGCAACTTTCAACTTTCATTAATATACTATTTTTTTTAACAAGGTAAGACAAAAGTCTTAATTCCAAAAATGTTCAATCTTTATTTAATGCACAAGTCCTCCTAAACCTTTAGTGGTATGTTCTAGTGAACTTTTAACACAATCAAATAAATCCATTTACAAATTAATTAAATAAAAATAAATATTTATGTTGTAATATTCCTTTGAAATAGGATATAGATTGTAGGACATATTATGTATATTCTTTATACAAATAAAACAACATGCAATGCTTATAATAGCAGTAGATAATATTCCATGAGACAATCAGTACCTGTGCTTTGACAGTGAGATCTAAGCTGTTTGAACCGACTTGTGATCATTCGGTTGGGTGTGATGCACAAAGCTCCTCTCCTCCCCTAGTAACAACATACCAATATCTCCACATGCTACAATCTGCTGGGTTGGTTCAGTAGCGTCGTGAGTTACAGCATGCACAACGAGCCCAGTGGACCAGATGGACTGGCGTTGGTTATAAAACTACACTACCCGATTTAGAAGAGGTTTACTGCATAAGTATAAGGACAGATTTGATATCATGTTTTGGTTTACAGTGCACATGAAATATTTTTAGTCCAAATGTAATTGTTAAATATATTATTATCATATTGGACATTTGCATAAATACATAACATTAAATATTTTGTTTCGTTGTAAAGCCTCTGACGAAATCCATTCATTGTTGTAGCTAACTTCTTAAGTATGGAATACCATAAACCACATGAAAAGCAAAAACTCTACACAAATAACACACATACAGATCCATATTGTTCTCAACTCATTTCACTGGCTTATCATTCCCAACAGTTAGTCAGTTTATAATGGCCATTGCACAATTGCCCATTAAAGCGCACCTCTCTTCCATCTGACAACATTAATGTCACTATTGCTCAGGCAGCAGAGTAGGCTGCCTCATCGGGGTCCTTGGCACTGTCCTCACTTGGCGGGGAGCTGAGGTCTGCTATGCCCGACTCCTGGTCATCACTGTTGGTGGAGAGGTCTGTGTCGGAGCGTTTGCGGCGCTCCCCTGGTCGGGGGAGGATCAGGAGCCTGCTCTCTGGCCCCGTCTGCTGGCAGGGTGATGAAGTGAGGAAGCCTCCCAGTCCGCTGTAGTCCCCTGGGGTGTTGGCCAAACTCAGGCAGCTGTCTGAGGGGGGAGAGGCCCACACCGCATGGCTCCTATCCAACGTGTTTGTTTTCACCTGGATGCTCTTCCCCTGCTCCTTCTCCAACATGGCTATTTTCTACAGTAGATAACACTACATAATATTAGAAAAAAAACTAAAACAAGAACAGTAACTTCAATCAAATGGCCCTGGTCAAAAGTAGTACATGAAATAGGGAATGAGGTGTGATTTGGGACACAGCCTATATCATCAGCCCTCCTGTCCTGCCTTACCTCCTCATGGGAGACAAGCTGCTCCTCCAGCTGCTGTGTCTCCTCTCTGACGGCCATCAGGTAGTCTATCACAGACTGGCGAGGATGCATGCCTCTGTCAAAACGGTTGTATAGGGCCCTCCAGAACCTACACACACACACACACACACACACACACACACACACACACACACACACACACACACACACACACACACACACACACACACACATAAATTATACCTATTCACTATTCAATACAGTTGAGAGAAATAGTGGAGAAATATTACTTGTCCTTAAATATGCACAACCTACTTAAAACAGTAGGGGGCGGTAAGTGGGCGCAGAACCCCCTGAGTCTGGATGTGGTCAGGTCTGTACAGGGGGTTGATGTAGTCAGTCCTGTTCTCCCACAAGTAGGTCCACAGAGAATGGCTCTTCTCCTGAAGCCTGACAACACAAAAACACATCTCACATGTCAACCTTAGCCACAAACATCACACACGTCAACTACAGTCACAATCATCACACATGTCACATACAGCTCAACACAAAACACACCACACATGTCAACCAGTGGAGGCTCCTCAGAGGAGGAAGGGGAGGACCATCCTCCTCAGTGAATTTCATAAAAATAAAAATAGTGAAACATTACAAAAGTCATCCTTTTTTAGATAAAACCAAATAATTGATTAAAAAACACTGTTTCGCAAAGAAGGTCTACAGTAGCCTCAACAGCGCTCTGTAGGGTAGCACCATGGTGTGGCCGGAGGACAGCTAGTTTCCATCCTCCTCTGGGTACATTGACTTCAATACAAAACCAAGGAGGCTCGTGGTTCTCACCCCCTTCCCTAGACTTACACGGTAATTATGACATCATCCGGAGGACGTCCTCCAACCTATCAGAGCTCTTGCAGCATGAACTGACATGTTGTCCACCCAATCAAAGGATCAGAGAATTAATCTAGTACTGAAAGCATAAGCTACAGCTACCTAGCACTGCAGTACATAAACTGTGGTGAGTAGTTGACTCAAAGAGAGAGAAAGACAATAGTTGAACAGTTTTGAACAAATTAATTTCTTCAAAAATGAAGGAGAAGCAAGAGAGAGAGAGAGAGAGAGAGAGAGCGAGAGCTACACTCTTAGCAAAAAATAGCCTAAAAGGGTTCTTCGGCTGTCCCCATAGGATAACCCTTTGAATAACCGTTTTTGGTTTCAGGTATAACCTTTTTTGTTCCAGGTAGAACCCTTTTGGTTACAGGTAGAACCCTATTGGGTTCCAGGTAGAACCTTTTCCCCAGAGGGTTCTACATGGAACACAAAATAGTTCTACCTGTAACCAAAAATGGTTCTCCTATAGGGATAGCCGAATAACCTTTTAGTTTTAGTTTAGCTATATTTCTTATTTTTTTCACTTTCACTTACTCCGGCTCAAACAGAGAGTGATGCTATGTTACCTAGCTGGCTATGGCTATCCAACACTGGAACTCTTCCAAGTCAAGGTAAGCTTTTGGCTTTATTAATTTACTGCCACCAGGGCATGCCGGTGTAACTGCTAAACTGCTTGCTAACTGTACACTGTACTGCATGATTGTAGTGGGTTTACTAACGCGTTAGTTCTAGTAGCTATGTTGACTTGACGTTAGCTAATATGGTGACAACGGTATAGCGGTCATTCATAGGCTAGATTGTATCAACCTCATGATGGGTATAGGGAAAATTTGAGTATGATGTAGTAGCCTAAACTTATCGATGTTACATTGAGCAGGGTGAATGGAATATGAATGACAGTCATCCAATATGCTGTAATAGAGATAAGGCCATGCTCATAAAAATGGCACCGACAGCCACTGATGTCAACTACAGCTCAACACAAAACGTAACATTCCAAAATGAAAGAAAGAATGCGTGTGTCAATTCCTGCTCTCTTTTGTCAGGTCTGACCGAACCTGTTTATGTCTCTTGTATTGGCTAGTCAAATAGGCATATTTGTTTAAATCTGTGCCTCATGTTAGGTGAATTTTAACACTATGGAGATTGACACCAATTAAACTGAAATAATAAGCAAAAAAGCCTTAACATTTCAGTAAATAGTTTAGATTAGTTATGTGTGAAGTCACAATCAGTTTCAACAATTCAAGACAAGGAACGGCAAAATGACAGACTTAGGTTATTACCTAAGATCCGACTTGTCCTTCTAGTTATTACCTATGATCCGACTTGTCCTTCTGGTTATTACCTAAGCTCCGCCCTCTCCTTCTGGTTATTACCTAAGCTCCGCCCTCTCCTTCTGGTTATTACCTAAGATCCGACCTCTCCTTCTGGTTATTACCTAAGCTCCGCCCTGTCCTTCTGGTTATTACCTAAGATCCGACTTCTCCTTCTGGTTATTACCTAAGCTCCGCCCTCTCCTTCTGGTTATTACCTAAGATCCGACCTCTCCTTCTGGTTATTACCTAAGCTCCGCCATCTTCTTCTGGTTATCACCTAAGCTCTCCTTCTAGTTATTACCTAAGCTCCGCCCTCTCCTTCTGGTTATGACCTAAGATCCGACCTTTCCTTCTGGTTATCACCTAAGCTTCAACCTCTCCTTCTGGTTATTACCTAAGCTCTGCCCTCTCCTTCTGGTTATGACCTAAGCTCCTACCTCTCCTTCTGGTTATTACCTAAGCTCCGCCCTCTCCTTCTGGTTATGACCTAAGCTCCGACCTTTCCTTCTGGTTATTACCTAAGCTCCGACCTCTCCTTCTGGTTATTACCTAAGCTCTACCCTCTCCTTCTGGTTATGACCTAAGCTCCGACCTTTCCTTCTGGTTATTACCTAAGCTCCGCCCTCTCCTTCTGGTTATGACCTAAGCTCCGACCTTTCCTTCTGGTTATTACCTAAGCTCCGACCTTTCCTTCTGGTTATTACCTAAGCTCCGCCCTCTCCTTCTGGTTATGACCTAAGCTCCGACCTTTCCTTCTGGTTATTACCTAAGCTCCGCCCTCTCCTTCTGGTTATTACCCAAGCTCTACCCTCTCCTTCTGGTTATTACCTAAGCTCCGTCCTCTCCTTCTGGTTATTGCCTATGAAGTTTCCGTACTGGCAGGAGTATATGTGGTTGTGGATGGTGATGAGGAACCTCTCGTTGTACTCAAAGGCACAGGGGAACTGCTCCGACAGCTGCCACACACACTCCAGGAACTGCTCTATGACCGGGGACACCTCCTTGGGGTCTCCATCCAGGTGGTTGTATCTGAGGAGACAGGGTAACATGGCATATGGAATCAGTCAGAGCCAGCGTCCCAAATGGCACCCTATTCCCTATATAGTGTACAACTTATGACTAGGGCCCATAGGGTGTCGTATGGGCATAGCAATGGACTATACGGAATAGGGTGCCATTTGGAACGATCATCATTCTGTCATTAAAGGAAATAATTATATCTGCACGAAAACACAACAGTTCACACCTGTGAGAGAACTTGTGTCCAAAGGAGACCCAGTCTCTTTCAATGAGAACCTGAATACAGGGGAATAAAACATGATTTACTTATGCATGAGGATGCCAGAAGGTGTTATTTGTATATAACTTGTGTCTAAACCTGTTTCATCACTTTCATCTTTGTTTCACCGCTTACACTTGGACAGTAAAGAGTACACATATTAGAGAGAGAGAGAGACAGTTTGTACTATGAGAGAGCTTGAACTTCCTCACCCAATGTGTGGGGTGGTTTTCTACTAAGTCTCAAGATGATTGTAAGAAGTCGGGCTTTCTGTCGCAGTAACTTTTTTCCATGGAGATGCCTTTTGGCAGAAACCCAGTCAGACAGAGCAAATCCTCATGATCAAAGAATCCAGAACCATAAGCACAGCACGGACCTACTTACATTACCGTCCAAGAGGACGTGATCAACTACAATCACACAGTAATTGAACAGCGTGTCAAAATCAATGTGCTTACATGTCAATATAAATGTGAAAACCCTAAACATAGCCAGAAACGAAAGCAAAAGGAATGTTCTTCATTTCAAATGACACTTATTGAGCGCTAGTGGGTACTAGGTAATAGAGGCTTTAAAGATGAATCACTAGAAACCTGCTGATCATGTGTTAAGAGTCTGTATGATATCATAGTTAGGGTAATTATTTATATGAATATGACATACATGAACCTATACACTATACACTAGTGAATATGCAGATACCGTGCTCAGAGAGACAGTAGGGGATGTACCATGAGTCCTTTGAGAGTCCTGTAGTAGGGGTCCAGGAGCACGGAGGCCACAGAGCACACCTGAGCAGTACGATCCCAACCGTCTGAGCAGTGGACCAAGACACTGACGCCCTCCTCTGCAACGGCCTACACATGCAAGCACGCACACAGACACGAGAGAGAGAGACTGAGAAACAATAAGTTAAGTGTAGCACTGAGACAGACAGAGGGGATTATCGTCCAGACAGACTAACCTTGGCGATGAAGATGCCAGCGTCCAGGACAGCTTTGATGTGTTTCAGCCAGCCTGAGCTCTCCAGACCCTCCAGGAACTCTGACATGGTGGGGGACCATGCCTCACTCACTGCAGGGGAAAACACACTGGGGTCAGTGGTAGACACGAATAGGGTTGCAAATTCCAGTAACTTCCCCATAATTGCCAGGTTTTCTAGAAGTCCTGGTTGGAGGATTCCTGCTTATTCCTTCATGATTCCAGGAACCGGGATTTCTGGAAAACGTCGAAATTTTGGGAAACTTCCTGGAGTTTTATAACCCTAGACATGGCCAATACCATAGATTATATGAACATTTCTTTTCTTGCTTTCCAGCAAACTATACTCTAAACTATACTGTTTTAAAGCTTCTGTTTGTTTGTTGCAATATACTTAGATATAAAACATCTGCTATTGCACAACGTATTTACTGTAAATGAAAAACGAAGAATGCATGATGAAGTACAGCATGAGAAATGTAGGCCACATTTATGTTTAGAAAATAGATCAGTTTTCTGCCCAATATGATGTTGTCACTCTTGAGTCAATATTGAGACAGGCCATTTGACACAGGACATGGCTTTAAATATTGAGACAGGCCATTTGACACAGGACATGGCTTTAAATATTGAGACAGGCCATTTGACACAGGACATGGCTTTAAATATTGAGACAGGCCATTTGACACAGGACATGGCTTTAAATATTGAGACAGGCCATTTGACACAGGACATGGCTTTAAATATTGAGACAGGCCATTTGACACAGGACATGGCTTTAAATATTGAGACAGAAGACAGGCAACTAAATACAGACCCATTTCTGCAGCATACAGCTTAATGCATTACATTACTTGTTTTCCTTGAAAACATACAGTGTATAACATTCCATTTTCAATCTGAAAGTTTAAGGTCAATATTTCCAAGTCCTTTCAGTTGTGACAAAGTGACAAAAGAACATTTCCAGAGTTTCTCCAGAGTTGGCAGCTCGGTTAATGAAGGAGAGTTGTCAAATAAACACTAATATTTTCAATTATCATTTGTAGATTTGCCAACTCCCTACAAAAACATCCATCTCTCCACACGGCTATTAAGAGTTGACAGAGGTATACAGAGGGGTGGGTTGACATATGTGTTCACGTGTGTATCTATGTGTGTGTGTGTGTGTGTGTGTGTGTTTGACCCTGAGCACTGTACTTCCAGACAACATTAGTGCACTGACTCGTGAGCCCACCTGAAGTGTGACTCTGCGCCAGGCAGCCAGGCAGCTGGAGCCAGCAGGTGAATGGGTTCAGTTAACCTTGGTTTTACAGCACAGGCTAATTTCCGGGAAACTATTGTTCTCTGAAGAATAATGAAAAAAATGGGTTGAAATGACATAGCTATCTACTGCACTGCCATGCGATCTGTTGCAGGATAAAGCCTCTCTCTGGCATTCTTCAGAACCCGTAGACTCCCTTGTGTTTCCAGGGGGCAAGGAGTTATCACAGCTAAGGCCAGATATTATTTTTCATACGCTAAATCACATCATTCTCACGCCCTCCGTCTCCCTCTTAAGGGGAAAAAGGTCCCAAATCGTCCGCTCCAGGAAACAAAAATAGTTTGCAGATGAAATCCAGATGGATTCAATGTCTTCCTGGCCCCGCAAATTACCCAAAAACGCTTCTATGGGTCTACCTAAGTCCTGATTGCAGAGCAGAGCAGTCTGCATTGCTGCATATGAAAGACACAGGGGTGGCAGGGGACCTGGTATCCTGATTCCACTTAAAGAGAATAAAGTGGGATCACATTGGAGGGAGCAAGACTAATCCAGTCTGGAACTGTATTGGGTTTAATCAAGTTGAGAGACAGTAGACAAAACAAACCTGTGGCTGTGAGTGAATATTACTTTGGCATTCTCTGAAATCAAGCTCTCAGTGATGTACTGAACAACACTGACATTGGCTTTTATGGCTCAACAAGGACTAGTGAGCCACAGAGTGATAGCTGGCTGGCTGACTGTTGAGTATTCATATGGTTGCAATGTAAGATGATCTGCTACAGGCCTCCAACACTGTGGGAGGTGACCCGATTCATACCTTCTAGCATTTTCTGGAGGCTGTTCCTCATCACGTGGATGTTCTCAATGCCTATGAACTGAAACTTGATGTTGGAGTAGTTGTCTTCATTTTCATAGCCTTTCCCTGCAGCTCGGTTTGCCATTGCATTCAGCTGGAAAGACATACAGTATAATCAAAGAGAAATCCTCAGAGAGACATGACTTTTAAAAACTAGATGGAGCAAGACTTCCACATGTTAAAGTTAGGAGGAGGGTTGCCCCTGTTTTTGTACATGTTGTGCATGTTCTGAAAAGCATGAAGCCAGGCATTTAATGTGAGCTTGCCCAGCTGACACCAGGCCCAAGATGAGCCCCTGGCCCCAGGGCCCAGCTGGCAAAATGCTGCATTGAAAAACAAAGCTCCACCTGAAGATACAGAATAGATGTTATTGACCGACTTCCATTGGCCCTGTGGCCAGGGGCTCACCTTGGGCCTGGTGTCCACCACATACATGAAGTCACTACAGGGGTTGGACCTCACGATGGCCTCCAGCATCTGCTCATCCTCTAGGCAGCGGGCACTGAAGCCAGACAGGGGCTGACTGCTACGACAGATGGCAGCCTGGGTAGGGGGTAGGAGGGAGAGACCTTACTCTAAAAACAAGACAATATACTATACAGTGGCCCTGTTGTACTATACAGTCAGAATAATGACATATTCATATTTCTAGGACAGAAACCTACATTTACCATAGTGATTATGTCTTGGCGTAATACATCAACTGCACAATTTCATAATTTTGTATGAGGCATGGGGGAGATTGTGCCAGAGACCTCTGTATGGTTCCCAGAGCGACTTGTCCCCCACAGATCATACAAACAGAGCAGCAGAGAGAACAGAGCCACATCTGAACACACTGAGCCCTGAACCCTGGGAATCTGACCTCACACATAAAACACTCTAACCCAGGCTGCAATATGAACTTCATATAGAGACTGGTCCTCACTGTCCTACTGCAATATGAACTTCATATAGAGACTGGTCCTCAGTGTCCAACTGCAATATGAACTTCATATAGAGACTGGTCCTCACTGTCGTACTGCAATATGAACTTCATATAGAGACTGGTCCTCACTGTCGTACTGCAATATGAACTTCATATAGAGACTGGTCCTCACTGTCCAACTGCAATATGAACTTCATATAGAGACTGGTCCTCACTGTCCAACTGCAATATGAACTTCATATAGAGACTGGTCCTCACTGTCCTCCTGTCATTTAGCAGACGCTCTTATCCAGAGCGACTTACAGTTAGTGAGTGCATACATTTTTCATACCTGCCCCCCATGGGAATCGAACCCACAACCCTGGCGTTGCAAGCGCCATGCTCTACCAACTGAGCTACAGGAGAGCTACTGGAGGGCTACTGCAATATGAACTTCATATAGAGACTGGTCCTCACTGTTCTACTATACATACACAGGCACACATATGTAGCAGTCATCAGTCGTGTGCAGAGATTGAAGCTGGTTGTAGGCCTAATTCACTCTGCCCTTACTCTGGTCTCTAGGGTGGGTCACACATGGGCTGCATCCCAAATAGCACCATATTGGGCCCTGGTCAAAAGTAGTGTGCTATATAGGGAATATGGTGCCATTTGGGGCACACACATGCTCTCATACCATACTTCATTTCAGTGCATTGAAAAGAAAATATAAATTAATCAGAGGGGAGCCCTGGGTTTCCTTGGGAAGTGAAGCCTGTGCCAGAAAAGCCCAGCCCTGTCTGAACTAGATACTGCTAGAAGCCTGGCCTGAACCTTATCACATCATAGATACTGCTAGGAGCCTGGCCTGAACCTTATCACATCCATATACAGTGGGGGGAAAAAGTATTTAGTCAGCCACCAATTGTGCAAGTTCTCCCACTTAAAAAGATGAGAGAGGCCTGTAATTTTCATCATAGGTACACGTCAACTATGACAGACAAATTGAGAAAAAAAAATCCAGAAAAATCACATTGTAGGATTTTTAATGAATTTATTTGCAAATTATGGTGGAAAATAAGTATTTGGTCAATAACAAAAGTTTCTCAATACTTTGTTATATACCCTTTGTTGGCAATGACACAGGTCAAACGTTTTCTGTAAGTCTTCACAAGGTTTTCACACACTGTTGCTGGTATTTTGGCCCATTCCCATTATGGTGGAAAATAAGTATTTGGTCACCTACAAACAAGCAAGATTCTGGCTCTCACAGACCTGTAACTTCTTCTTTAAGAGACTCCTCTGTCCTCCACTCGTTACCTGTATTAATGGCACCTGTTTGAACTTGTTATCAGTACAAAAGACACCTGTCCACAACCTCAAACAGTCACACTCCAAACTCCACTATGGCCAAGACCAAAGAGCTGTCAAAGGACACCAGAAACAAAATTGTAGACCTGCACCAGGCTGGGAAGACTGAATCTGCAATAGGTAAGCAGCTTGGTTTGAAGAAATCAACTGTGGGAGCAATTATTAGGAAATGGAAGACATACAAGACCACTGATAATCTCCCTCGATCTGGGGCTCCACGCAAGATCTCACCCCGTGGGGTCAAAATGATCACAAGAACGGTGAGCAAAAATCCCAGAACCACACGGGGGGACCTAGTGAATGACCTGCAGAGAGCTGGGATCAAAGTAACAAAGCCTACCATCAGTAACACACTACGCCGCCAGGGACTCAAATCCTGCAGTGCCAGACGTGTCTCCCTGCTTAAGCCAGTACATGTCCAGGCCCGTCTGAAGTTTGCTAGAGTGCATTTGGATGATCCAGAAGAGGATTGGGAGAATGTCATATGGTCAGATGAAACCAAAATAGAACTTTTTGGTAAAAACTAAACTCGTCGTGTTTGGAGGACAAAGAATGCTGAGTTGCATCCAAAGAACACCATACCTACTGTGAAGCATGGGGGTGGAAACATCATGCTTTGGGGCTGTTTTTCTGCAAAGGGACCAGGACGACTGATCCGTGTAAAGGAAAGAATGAATGGGGCCATCTATCGTGAGATTTTGAGTGAAAACCTCCTTCCATCAGCAAGGGCATTGAAGATGAAACGTGGCTGGGTCTTTCAGCATGACAATGATCCCAAACACACCGCCCGGGCAACGAAGGTGTGGCTTCGTAAGAAGCATTTCAAGGTCCTGGAGTGGCCTAGCCAGTCTCCAGATCTCAACCCCATAGAACATCTTTGGAGGGAGTTGAAAGTCTGTGTTGCCCAGCGACAGCCCCAAAACATCACTGCTCTAGAGGAGATCTGCATGGAGGAATGGGCCAAAATACCAGCAACAGTGTGTGAAAACCTTGTGAAGACTTACAGAAAACGTTTGACCTGTGTCATTGCCAACAAAGGGTATATAACAAAGTATTGAGAAACTTTTGTTATTGACCAAATACTTATCTTCCACCATAATTTGCAAATAAATTCATTAAAAATCCTACAATGTGATTTTCTGGAATTTCTTTTCCCATTTTGTCTGTCATAGTTGACGTGTACCTATGATGAAAATTACAGGCCTCTCTCATCTTTTTAAGTGGGAGAACATGCACAATTGGTGGCTGACTAAATACTTTTTTCCCCCACTGTATACTGCTAGGAGCCTGGCCTGAACCTTATCACAGTGATATATACTGCTAGGAGCCTGACCTGAACCTTATCACATCCATATATACTGCTAGGAGCCTGGCCTGAACCTTATCACAGCCATATATACTGCTAGGAGCCTGACCTGAACCTTATCACATCATAGATACTGATAGGAGCCTGACCTGAACCTTATCACAGCCATATATATTGCTAGGAGCCTGACCTGAACCTTATCACATCTTATCACGTCATAGATACTGCTAGGAGCCTGGCCTGAACCTTATCACAGTGATATATACTGCTAGGAGCCTGACCTGAACCTTATCACATCTATATATACTGCTAGGAGCCTGGCCTGAACCTTATCACAGCCATATATACTGCTAGGAGCCTGACCTGAACCTTATCACATCATAGATTCTGATAGGAGCCTGACCTGAACCTTATCACAGCCATATACACTGCTAGGAGCCTGGCCTGAACCTTATCACAGCCATATATACTGCTAGGAGCCTGACCTGAACCTTATCACATCATAGATACTGCTAGGAGCCTGACCTGAACCTTATCACAGCCATATATACTGCTACGAGCCTGGCCTGAACCTTATCACAGCCATATATACTGCTAGGAGCCTGGCCTGAACCTTATCACAGCAATATATACTGCTACGAGCCTGGCCTGAACCTTATCACAGCCATATATACTGCCAGGAGGTTGGTGGCACCTTAATTGGGGAGGACGGGCTCATGGTAATGGCTGGAGCGGAATTAGTGGAATGGTATCAAATACATCAAACATATGGTTTCCATGTTTTTGATGCCATTCCATTCGATCGTTCCAGCTATTATTATGAGCCTTCTTTCCCTCAACAGCCTCCACTGCATACTGCTAGACGCATGACCTGAAGCTTATCACAAGCAATGGGCCTGGTTAAGGAGTGGCCGATGACCTCCCTGAGGAGCAATGGGCCTGGCTAAGGAGTGGTCGATGACCTCCCTGAGGAGCAATGGGCCTGGCTAAGGAGTGGTCGATGACCTCCCTGAGGAGCAATGGGCCTGGTTAAGGAATGGTCGATGACCTCCCTGAGGAGCAATGGGCCTGGCTAAGTAAGTATTATAACAGTTCAGAGAGCAGAGCTGGACTGAGCTCCTGCTCAGTATTCAGTATGGCCAGAGGATATGCATGGTCATCCCACACTCACTCACACACTGGGACTAGCAAAGGCCTCTCTGGCCAGCAGAACAACGTCTTCAATGGAACTGAAAATGGCATTACATGACTTGGGATTACTAAGCACTTCTGTAGTTCTTCTGATGTACAAGAGTTATCAACAACATTTTTGCAGACACTCTTATCCACCTGAGCCACACTGGACTTTTCCTGGTTAAATAAAGTTCAGCAAAAATAAAATAGGAATATTCCAGCAGCACATCACAGAATTGTGTATATATATATATACTACCGTTCAAAAGTTTGGGGTCACTTAGAAATGTCCTTGTTTTCCATGAAAACATACATGAAATGAGTTTGAATAGGACATATAGCAAAATGCATAGGAAATGTAGTCATTGACAAGGTTAGAAATCATGATTTTTAATAGAAATAATAATTGTGTCCTTCAAACTTTGCTTTCGTCAAAGAATCCTCCATTTGCAGCAATTACAGCCTTGCAGACCTTTGGCATTCTAGTTGTCAATTTGTTGAGGTAATCTGAAGAGATTTCACCCCATACTTCCTGAAGCACCTCCCACAAGTTGGATTGGCTTGATGGGCACTTCTTACGTACCATACGGTCAAGCTGCTCCCACAACAGCTCAATAGGGTTGAGATCTGGTGACTGTGCTGGCCACTCCATTATAGACAGAATACCAGCTGACTGCTTCTTCCCTAAATAGTTATTGCATAGTTTGGAGCTGTGCTTTGGGTCATTGTCCTGTTGTAGGAGGAAATTGGCTCCAATCAAGCGCCGTCCACAGGGTATGGCATGGCGTTGCAAAATGGAGTGATAGCCTTCCTTCTTCAAGATCCCTTTTACCCTGTATAAATCTCCCACTTTACCACCACCAAAGCACCCCCAGACCATCACATTGCCTCTACCATGCTTGACAGATGGCATCAAGCACTCCACCAGCATATTTTCATTTGGTCTGCGTCTCACAAATGTTCTTCTTTGTGATCCGAACACCTCAAACTTCGATTTGTCTGTCCATAACACTTTTTTCCAATCTTCCTCTGTCCAGTGTCTGTGTTCTTTTGCCCATCTTAATCTTTTCTTTTTATTGGCCAGTCTGAGATATGGCTTTTTCTTTGCAACTCTGCCTAGAAGGTCAGCATCCCGGAGTCGCCTCTTCACTGTTGACGTTGAGACTGGTGTTTTGTGGGTACTATTTAATGAAGCTGCCAGTTGAGGACCTGTGAGGTGTCTGTTTCTCAAACTAGACACTCTAATGTATTTGTCCTCTTGCTCAGTTGTGCACTAGAGCCTCCCACTCCTCTTTCTATTCTGGTTAGAGCAAGTTTGCGCTGTTCTGTGAAGGGAGTAGTACACAGCGTTGTACGAGATCTTCAGCTTCTTGGCAATTTCTCGCATGGAATAGCCTTCATTTCTCAGAACAAGAATAGACTGAAGAGTTTCAGAAGAAAGTTCTTTGTTTCTGGCCATTTTGAGCCTGTAATCGAACCCACAATTGCTGATGCTCCAGATACTCAATTAGTCTCAAGAAGGCCAGTTTTATTGCTTCTTTAATTAGCACACACAGTTTTCAGCTGTGCTAACATAATTGCAAAAGGGTTTTCTAAGGATCAATTAGCCTTTTAAAATGATGAACTTGGATTAGCAAACACAACGTGCCATTGGAACACAGGACTGATGGTTGCTGATAATGGGCCTCTGTACGCCTATGTAGATATTCCATTAAAAATCAGCCGTTTCCAGCTACAATAGCCATTTACAACATTAACAATGTCTACACTGTATTTGTTATCAATTAATTTGTTATTTTAATGGACAATAAAATTGCTTTTCTTTCGAAAACAAGGACATTTCTAAGTGACCCCAAACTTTTGAATGGTAATATATATTTATACAGTGAGGGAAAAAAGTATTTGATCCCCTGCTGATTTTGTACGTTTGCCCACTGACAAAGACATGATCAGTCTATAATTTTAATGGTAGGTTTATTTGAACAGTGAGAGACAGAATAACAACAAAAACATCTAGAGAAACGCATGTCAAAAATGTTATACATTTATTTGCATTTTAATGAGGGAAATAAGTATTTGACCCCTCTGCAAAACATGACTTAGTACTTGGTGGCAAAACCCTTGTTGGCAATCACAGAGGTCAGACGTTTCTTGTAGTTGGCCACCCGGTTTGCACACATCTCAGGAGGGATTTTGTCCCACTCCTCTTTGCAGATCTTCTCCAAGTCATTAAGGTTTCGAGGCTGATGTTTGGTAACTCGAACCTTCAGCTCCCTCCACAGATGTCCTATGGGATTAAGGTCTGGAGACTGGCTAGGCCACTCCAGGACCTTAATGTGCTTCTTCTTGAGCCACTCCTTTGCTGCCTTGGCCGTGTGTTTTGGGTCATTGTCATGCTGGAATACCCATCCACGACCCATTTTCAATACCCTGGCTGAGGGAAGGAGGTTCTCACCCAAGATTTGACGGTACATGGCCCGTCCATCGTCCCTTTGATGCGGTGAAGTTGTCCTGTCCCCTTAGCAGAAAAACACCCCTAAAGCATAATGTTTCCACCTCCATGTTTGACGGTGGGGATGGTGTTCTTGGGGTCATAGGCAGCATTCCTCCTCTTCCAAACACGGCGAGTTGAGTTGATGCCAAAGAGCGCGATTTTGGTCTCATCTGACCACAACACTTTCACCCAGTTCTCCTCTGAATCATTCAGATGTTCATTGGCAAACTTCAGATGGCCCTGTATATGTGCTTTCTTGAGCAGGGGGACCTTGCGGGCGCTGCAGGATTTCAGTCCTTCACGGCGTAGTGTGTTACCAATTGTTTTCTTGGTGACTATGGTCCCAGCTGCCTTGAGATCATTGACAAGATCCTCCTGTGTAGTTCTGGGCTGATTCCTCACCGTTTTCATGATCATTGCAACTCCACGAGGTGAGATCTTGCAAGAAGCCCCAGGCCGAGGGAGATTGACAGTTCTTTTGTGTTTCTTCCATTTGCGAATAATCGCACCAACTGTTGTCACCTTCTCACCAAGCTGCTTGGCGATGGTCTTGTAGCCCATTCCAGCCTTGTGTAGGTCTACAATCTTGTCCCTGACATCTTGGAGAGCTCTTTGGTCTTGGCCATGGTGGAGAGTTTGGAATCTGATTGATTGATTGCTTCTGTGGACAGGTGTCTTTTATACAGGTAACAAGCTGAGATTAGGAGCACTCCCTTTAAGAGTGTGCTCCTAATCTCAGCTCATTACCTGTATAAAAGATACCTGGGAGCCAGAAATCTTTCTGATTGAGAGGGGGTCAAATACTTATTTCCCTCATTAAAATGCAAATCAATTTATAACATTTTTGACATGCGTTTTTCTGGATTTTTTTGTTGTTATTCTGTCTCTCACTGTTCAAATAAACCTACCATTAAAATTATAGACTGATAATTTCTTTGTCAGTGGGCAAACGTACAAAATCAGCAGGGGATCAAATACTTTTTTCCCTCACTGTATATATATATATATATATATATATATATATATATATAGAGAGAGAGAGAGAGAGAGAGAGAGAGAGAGAGAGAGAGAGAGAGAGAGAGAGAGAGAGAGAGAGAGAGAGAGAGAGAGAGTGAGAGTATGAGAGAGAGTGTGAGAGTATGAGAGAGAGAGTGAGAGATAGAGAGAGCGAGAATGAGGTAGAAACATGTATTAAAATATGTGGGGGCTGTTGTTTTGAGAGAGCTGTCAAGACTCACATGGTTTTCTTTGCAGTAGTATGACAACGTGGGAAATCGACCTCGGCTTCGGAATTTGGAACTCCCAACGATGACTGGGTGGGTGGCTGATTTTGGCACATACAGGTCAGCAGGATAAGTGTCACTCAACTGTTGGAAAATGACAATAAATTCACCATTCATGCAGTGATACTGTTTGCACATAGTATTTTGACTATCTAGGTCAGAGATAGGCAACTTTGATGGGGATGGAGGCCACAAAACATCTGAACTCATCATGAGGGGCCGCAGTGGCTTGTGGGTCTGCGTACCCACATCCATACCCACACATGCAGTCAGAGCCGGCCCTAGCCTTTTGGGGGCCCTAAGTGAAATTTTGTTGGACAACAATTGGATGACATAGTACACAATTGGATGACGTAGTACACAAAAAACAGGGACCAGTTTTGGCTCGTGAGCACCATTTTGAAAACTACTGGCTGAAATTATGCAAAAGTTTGAGAGTGCATTTAATATGATATCTGAGTGAGAGTGACTTACAAAATCAACGTGGGCTACCCGGTCCGTAATTCGACCATGATTACTACAAGTTTCGATAGCTGGCTAAACTAACTTACCAATCTAACAAATGCTAACTGACATTAGCTAATTGAGTGACTGTCAGTGACTGACATAAGAAGATAAAAACTACTGATGCACAACCAAATGTTGAAATTTCACCTTGTGTATTCTACTATTCTAACTCTCAACAGTATATTGAGACCCCAACTGAGTTCCTAAAAAAATTGCCAAGTGGTCTCCTTGTAGGGTAATATGTCCATCTTGCGTACAGACCTTGTAGTCGCGGTTAACTGGGGATAGATTCCAGAGGTGGTTGGGAACGCCCATTCTACTGTACTCAGCCTTGAGGTTGAGAAAGTCCCAGGCCTGTCCTCTCGCCTCATTGTCACTATTAGCATGAAAGGAGAAGCAGTACAGCTCCGCATATCGCTCTGCAAGACAAAACACAACAGGAATAACAACACTGACTTAGCTAGGTTCTTTCAGGTAACATTTTAACCATTTAGCAGACGCTCTTATCCAGAGCGACTTACAGTAGTGAGTGCATACATTTTCATACTAGTCCCCCGTGGGAATCGAACCCACAACTCTGGCGTTGCAACCGCCATGCTCTACCAACTGAGCTACATGAGAGGAGGGGTATGATCAGCAGTTGATTGATTTGAAAAGATCATGTAGCACTCACGTTTACATAACGTCGTATAATACAACACAACAAGATATCGTTGTGCAACACAACAAGATATCGTTATGGAACAAAACAAGACATCGTTATGGAACAAGATATCGTTATGGAACAAAACAAGATATCGTTATGGAACAAAACAAGATAACCTTATGGAACACAAGAAGATATCGTTATGGAAGAAAACAAGACATCGTTATGGAACAAGATATCGTTATGGAACAAAATAAGATAACCTTATGGAACACAACAAGATATCATTATGGAACAAAACAAGATATCATTATGGAACAAAACAAGATATCATTATGGAACAAAACAAGATATTGTTATGGAACAAAACAAGATATCATTATGGAACAAAACAAGATAACCTTATGGAACACAACAACATATCATTATGGAACACAACAAGATATCATTATGGAACAAAACAAGATAGCGTTATGGTTATTTCCATGTCAGCGTGCACCTGGTCTGGAGAGGCGCAGCAGGGAGATGTGCACGTCATGGCAGTCCCTCTCCTGGGGGATGATAAACTGTAGGGCCTGGTAGTTCTTACAGTGGATGAGCAGAGGACTTCCTGTGGTGGTTGTAGCTTGTTTCTCCACACTGCACACTAAACTGTGCAGAACCTAGAGGGGTGAAGACAGCAGAGAACACAAGGCTCAGTAACCCCTTTCATCTTATGAAGGCACAATATAGCCCAATATTGGACTAAAGGAGCCTAACGTTATTCCTTATAGTCCAAGGACCTTAGATGTTCTGTTTAAAGGGTGAAGTGGCTCTGGAAGCCAAAACAACCAAATACTCCATCTAATTGTGAATCGATTCTCAATTGTGATACGGTTCTAGAAACATAAAGCCCTCTACTTTCATATCACATCTAAATAAGTATACAGTTACTGTACACTGTTTTAACCGGCTTTATCACAGTTGCAGCCGACAGTATTTTTCAGTGACAACACGTTTCTGGTGTCCGTCTTCCGTTCACACACAGGTGTTCGGAGACACAGATAGCTAATTAGCACAGGTAGTCCACTCTGTCTTCTGTCTGTTTTCTGTAAACAAGCGCTGTAAGGGACAGATCACAATTTACTGGAGGGGAGGGGTGGTCCAAAATAGGGGAGGGTTGTCAAACTTTTTGTTTTGTTTTGGGGAGGGTTGTGTGGTTTTTTATTGGGCACAGGGGAGGGTTGTGTGGTTTTCCCTGGTTTACATTCGCTCTGTTACAGATTTTACTATATAATTTCTTCCATCCTAGCCACATTTCCTCATCTGCTTGCATGCTCCTCCCCTATATCAAGGTGTTTTGAAACTTCCCTTATGCACTACGCTTTTCCGTGCGCTAACTATACCACACAGGTCAATATACTGTAGTCTACCAGTATAACGGTCTATCCTGCCCTCTATCCACCATTCATAGTGACAATAGTGGTAGGTGAATTGTTTGTCCAGATCTGCAATAGGCTAACTAGCAATCATACCACAGATAAAAACATTCAAACCTGCATTCATTTTCAATATGAATCCACAAATAGGAATAACTGATATGCAGCGGAGAGGCCAGGTGCGTCATTGTGCATGAAAGAACAGTGAAGACATCAGACACATAGCTAAAAAAAATTATTTTGTTTAGGGACAATATAATTATCCTACCTAGACTAGCCTACAACACCACAATGCAATGAATAATTGCATTATTGTGTTCAAGTGAGTACAACATTCTAGCCAACTCTAGGCTGCAGTGAAAATGTCATTTGAATAACTGCGCAACAGCCCTGTGATTTGAATGTTTCATTCCATTTGGATCAGTTGTGGGTCTACTCTCGACTGTTTATAAGGTCTAGAAAGGCACAGTAGCAGGCCAGTCCGGCTGAATTTTGACTTCTGATACTGAGATGTGCTGTCTGGTGTGGATCATCATTCTCCCAAGTCGTCCTATAATAATGTGGCCACATGTGTTACCGACATACTGTATGCTCCCCTCAAAATGGCTTGACATTAACCAGGTTTCCATCCAACCTTTTTAAAGTAGCCTACATGTCTGATAAAAAAATTTTCACCACATCATGGGAAAGCATGCAGTTTATTAAGCTACAGATGAAATAAGTTATGATGAACTTCACAGGGTGGTGAAAGTGCACAGTCATGAGGTTGATGCTCCTTTCAATAAATATCAAGGTTCTTATTCTGGTGACATGATGATTGATGCTTGGCTGCCATTTGACAAATAATACCACACTTTTGTCCTTAATAATCTCATCATGTAGTAGGCTATACCTCCACTGTATCTGCAACCTGTTGGCTAGAGTGCCTGTGCCAATACCAGAATGGGAACATTTGCTATACCTACGCAACATTTTTTTGTGACAAAACCATCAGTACGCCTAGAGTTGAAAATGTGATGGAAACCCATTTAACTTGTATTTTTTATTGGGTACATGGGAATTTAATGCAGGCTAATGTGCAACTCCCTATTCAGGTAGGATGCAATTTTGGAACGTACATTTATTTATAATCATTTGTTTTAACATTATTATTATTATTGTATATCATTGTTATTACTGTAAGCCTATTTATTAATCGAAACCAGTTCTTTAAATATGCAAAATCAGTTTTGTTTAATTCTGCTGTGACAAATTAAATTCGATCTGTCTTTTTAATCGTGTGCTCCGTATTTAGTTTAAGATAGATTATAAGTAGGTCTGTTGTCAAATAAATAACATTAGCCTATTTCTTTCATTTGTTGGGTATGATAGGCACTTGCCATTGTTGATAATTGCTGCAATATAGCCTGTTCAAAACTTTTGTGAAGGTTTAAACCAGTTCGCAAGTGTTTTGTTTCATTCTGTTGAGCCATTTTCTTTGGACAAATTAAATTCCAACTGTAATGCTGTGTTTGCCGCAATATAACAGCCTGCTCATATTTTTCCTTTCATTTCCTTTTGATATTACCCTAATAAAGTTTAGAAACTTTTGTGAAGGTTTGGTGTGTTGTGGATATTATTAAGCTTTAGCTTCTGCAAGCATATGATATAAAGGCAGTGTGCACCAGCGCTCCAACTGATTCTGACAGTTGAACTTGAGGTGAGGAAGAATGTTTCAGGCCTACCAGAGTTACTCCTATAATGTAACAATATAATGCTTATTTATATACAAAATATTCAGCTACATTTTTTAAAACGAATTAGCCTCCTTCTGTACATCTATATCTGTGTAGCAGACGCAGTAGCCATCTGACATAAAGAAATGCATGTCGGTGTCGTAGCTGGCATATCTTATCTCCCTCTCTATCTCTCTGGCCTAAGCTTCTCTTCCACACCGATCTCGACAAACCATTTCTGTATGGACCTCGCTTTGTGAATGGGGGCATTGTGTGTTTTGGGTCATTGTCCTGTTGAAAAACAAATGATAGTCCCACTAAGCGCAAACCAGATGGGATGGCGTATCGCTGCAGAATGCTGTGGTAGCCATGCTGGTTAAGTGTGCCTTGAATTCTAAATATATCACAGACAGTGTCACCAGCAAAGCACCCCCACACCATAACAGCTCCTCCTCCATGCTTCACGGTGGGAACCACACATGCGGAGATCGTCCGTTCACCTACTCTGCGTCTCACAAAGACACGGCGGTTGGAACAAAAAATCTCAAATTTGGACTCAGACCAAAGAACAGATTTCCACCGGTCTAATGTCCATTGCTCATGTTTCTTGGCCCAAGCAAATGTCTTCTTCTTAATGGTGTCCTTTAGTAGTGGTTTCTTTGCAGCAATTCGACCATGAAGGCCTGATTCACGCAGTCTCCTCTGAACAGTTGATGTTGAGATGTGTCTGTTACTTGAACTCTGTGAAGCATTTATTTGGGCTGCAATCTGAGGTCCAGTTAACTCTAATGAACTTATCATCCGCAGCAGAAGTAACTCTGGGTCTTCCTTTCCTGTGGCGGTCCTCATGAGAGCCAGTTTCATCATAGCGTTTGATGGTTTTTGAACAGCACTTGAAGAAACTTTCAAAGTTCTTGAAATGTTCTGTATTGACTGACCTTCATGTCTTAAAGTAATGATGGACTTGGTCTTTGACCAAATAGGGCTATCTTCTGTATACCACCCCTACATTGTCACAACACAACTGATTGGCTCAAACGCATTAAGAAGGAAATAAATTCCACAAATTAACTTTTAACAAGGCACACCTGTTAATTGAAATGCATTCCAGGTGACTACCTCATGAATCTGGTTGAGAGAATGCCAAGAGTGTTCAAAGCTGTCATCAAGGCAAAGGTTGGCTACTTTGAAGAATCTCAAATATAAAATATATTTTGATTTGTTTATCACTTTTTGGGTTACTCCATGATTCCATATGTGTTATTTCATATTTTTGATTTATTCACTATTATTCTACAAGTCTATAGCCATATGCATGCAATGCCTTGATGCATTTAGTGATCAAATCTACAATAGCTGAACCATGAGGTGGACAATTATTGATTTAGGAACGTAGCCTAAATACCAATTTAAAAAATGAAAGTCGAATCCGAATGCATATGAATGTCCAGTAAATTTCTCAAACGTCTGGTAAATTAAAATCTTCCTGGTCAGGTTGCACTTCGCAATGTTTTCTAAAGGAAACACTGAAATGGGCATGTGTCTATGCAGATTTTAGAATACATTTGAGAAAATATGTTACAATTGGATGGAAACCTAGCTATTGACACTCTAAAGACCCTGGCAAGTGTGTAGTCCAGTGTCACTTTATGCCTGCACATCATGGTTCACCAGCAGCCTCTAACATCTACAGAATAAGATACAGACTAGGGTTTAATCTTTTCCTGGTATTTTACAAATGTTCTATCCTGAGAATAATCCCCTTTCTCCCGGGTAACGCAGTATTTTCCGCCCAAATCGGAAGTGTCATTCTAAAGCATATAAAGCATTTTCATATGTCTGGATTTGATTAGAGCTTTGATCGACATGAAAAGTCACACTAAATACATTTTATGAGCCCTACATTAAAGATATTTTATGAGCCCAAGCACAAAAAAGCACAAATGATTGTGCTGTTATCCAATATATAGCCTATGATATAGGCTACCGCACATTACGCACGACAGAAAAACATAAAAGCCCATAGATGTGGCTATGTTAACAAATAAGGTGACCACCTAAAGCCAGATGGAGATGTGTAAATTAGACGTGCATTCAGTCCTTACATTACTGCAGCATAGGCTGCACAATGGAAATAAGTCCCTGACTTTATTGCGCAATCCCGGTCACTTGTAACATTATTTGTGTATATATATATATATATAGAGAGAGAGATTTCTTTTACTGACAAATAAAATAAATAAATCCAAACTGTGCAGAGGCAATTTGGTGAATGGAAAGAGACATCTGTTACAAAACACCAACAAGTTTAATGACATTGAGAGATTGTCAAACCAAGCCTTCGATACTGGGTAGGCCTACAAGGTAGAGAGGGATGTGTTTTCTGTTTGTCCAGATTAAGTCTATTTATTGTTGTGTTGAAAACGCAAAACATGTCGGTATGTTTTTTTTATTGGTTGTGTGGTGCATTGGCACAGAACTCTGTTGGTGGAGAATTTGTTGCATATATTTATTATAAATTATAAATATGGCATCAAAGTGTTGAAAATCTAATTTCTCCCTACTGATCATTGTCTGCAACCGGCTCTGATCGTGAAGTAATGAAACAGGTGGTCGGCGAACCCTCAAACTTATGGCCCGTAGCTCTGCGTGGCATCGACTGTGCCACAAAAGCAAAGTAGATATCCATATTTATAAATACATGGTTGCTACAGTTATTGTTATTTGTGGTCGTAAAACATTATTTTGCGTTCATTCTATGAGGGGGGAGGGTGCTCAATTTATTTTACAGTACAAGGTGAGGGTCATGTGAAAATATGTTTTATGTTGGGGAGGGGGGTGCTTTTTCTTTATGACCCCCCCCCCCCCCTCCAGTAAAATCCCTAACATGGAAATATGGCGGTGTGAACCCTAAACCTAACCCTATTAATGTGTAGGAAATTAACCTTTTGTTTTTTGAAAATTATTTCTCACCGTTATGAAAGATTCGCTCATTGTTTCCAAAACCGAGCGATGCGCGTTAACGTTCAGTGCCGGCGTGGGGGCTCTTAACAAAACTCCCCCGGTCAGAAGCTACTATGCTCAATAGCAGCTAAAGTTAGTTAGCGTCTATGAATGTGGTAGCCACAATAGTGCTGCCAATGTGATACTATTGTATTGGCCAAACCAAAATGATGCAGGACCGGGACTTCAACATTTCATCATGTATTGTTGCGGAAGGTTACATCAGAAATCGTATCAGACTGGAGCTGCCTACCCATGTTTCTGTTCGTATCTCAGTCTCATTCTCCACAAAGATGGTGTGAGTGGCTGTCAGGTACAAAGTGCCCACCGAGGCTCTTCTTGTGGAGATTCTGTCAATCAGTCTGACTTTCTCAACCTTGGGACAGGACAGATGGATAAAAATAAACACACTATGGAGAAATGGAACATGCATAACATAGGCCTATCTCTTTAATATTTAATATTTAATCATTTTAATAGGACTACAATGAGTCTTGTTTTGAACACTATAAAGAAATCAAGCATATGTGGTTTGCCGACATAGGCGACGACAGTTGAGTTTCTCATGGTCAATAAAATATCAGATTACATGCAATATTAAATTGTTATTACACACTGATAAAATATTGGCCAGTCAGCAGAGTAGGGAACACTGTGGGGTGAACGGCAGCTACAGCATACGTGGCCACATTTGACAGTCCTCTTCCCCTTATTATAACAAATCATGTCGTTTATAGTGGTTCCAGTCTTACTGATATATAATGTAAAACAATATGTATTTCTAACAGTTACTATGGGCTAAGAGGCAAATACAATGTGTAAATCTGAAAAAGCGAGGCCGGGTGCAATAAATTGACAATTGCATTATTCATTCGTGCAGAATACGGGTTACCTTAGGCAGTCGGATGTGCTCCATCACTGTGGAACGTAACAGCCAAGATGACTGCAATTCACTGAATAGGCGATAATATTACACTACACTAAATTGGCGGATTAGTATTATTTCCTGTCGCATTTAACGCATTTAATACTCAGCTATACTCAGCCATGGTCTTCTTCCTCCAGCGGTGCAGCCTATGAATATGGCTCTGCATGGTCCTAAAGCCCCTTCCACACTTTATGGCAACAAAAAGTTCCAATGAATAGAAATAAGGCTATAATCACAATCCATTTCGGAATACATTGTAGGGTATTGTAATGTTAATGTCAACCTGTTGTTAGGTATGCCCAGGGTTAAAGGGGCAATTTGCTGTTATTACATCCATTTTTGGACATAAATTAATTATATGTACCCATTGTTTCTTGAAGAATATAACTTATAAATGCCTCATGAGCTTAGTTAAACTGTCGTACCCCATCAGAACCCACAATATAAGTTTGTGTTACTCCAATGTTTGTAAACAAAGTAAATGTAAAGAAAAACTATATACCCTCAAAACATGGTTAAAACTATAATTGTGATATGGATGGTCAGTCCTTGCATCCATAGCTGTCTATACATTTGAGAGTGATTACATTTCTCCAGCCCCATCCGTCAGCTTTTTACCTCAACAGGGGTGCTTTGTTATTGTTTCAATTACTGATTGCCGCATTAAATGCACATGTATTTTTTGTTCACCTGACTGTCCACTGACTTTTACATACCTGTCTGTCGCTGGTAACTGAGCTCTCACAATAATAAATGATGCCCTGTGCCCTCCCCTCCTGGCTCCTGCATATGTCAATATTCAGAAAATGTATTCTAAAAACCCACCTTTTCTTCTTTGGGGGACGTCAGAGCAGCGCGTGGTTGGGGGTGTGCTACATTCTCCAATAAGAGCTGCTGTCCGGATTGGACATTTATGTCCAGGCTGGAACCGCTAAAAGTAAGTGTCTGGCTGCGCACTAACGTCTAACTTTTAACTAAACTAACATCTAACACTAACATCTAACTTTAAACTAAAATATGTAAATGGCAGGAACACTATTGCAAGTTATTTCAAAGCTATATGGAGAGTTTAAGAGTATTTTATCAGGAGCTGGCATCTTGAAGCTTTGGATAGTTTGGATAATTTCTTGAATAATGAATTATGTGGTTCCACATCTCATGTGTATTTAAACTACAGGACATTAATTTAGTAGGCTATATTTAATTACTCAGAATGTTGCTTAAAAATACACATTACACAGTTGTAGGCTAATAACTGCTGTAACTGCCTTTATGCACGCTTGTATGGTAGAAATGTGGTGGTGATATACAGTTATCTATTCTAAAATGTGTAGCCTATGTGACTTTAGTCCTTGTTGTACCATCATATATTATAGACTAACGCATTAAGCCTATGGTTACAGAACTGTTTGATAGTGTATGGACATAATACCTCGCAGTTTGCTGCCTTCATTGCACATTTTCTACATTGGGTTTATTTTCAAGCTTTGCTGCACTTATGCCAATTGTGTGCTGTGTAGTTACATTGGTAAACAATAAACACTTCACTCAGATACATGACGTTTCTTTAACTTTAAATAAGAGCACAAGTTCAGCAAAAATATATTATACCTTTTAGTGTTGCACCCGAACCCCCAAACCAGAGAGAGACAGTTGACACACCTTAGATTATATAAGTATAGGTCGACCATTTTGAAAATGATCAGTTCTGCATGTGTAGCCTACATGTGTGTCCTATACAGTGTTGATGAAGCTACTCTGAAAATATAGTTTACCAAGCTACCAATTACTTCACACTGGAAGAAGTTAAGCTACACTAAAGCTACCCTTAAAAAACATATAGTTTACTTAACTAAAGTTACTCTGAAAAAGTAGTTCACTACATCCAAACTATTTCATGATAAATTATCATATATAATCTGAAATGTCATAGAATACAAATGATAAGAACAGATCACTCTGGAGTCAGATGTTAAGAGAATGTGTAGTTTGGCCTATTAAACACAAAAACTATGTTTCAAATGAGAATTAGGCCAGTCTGATGCTGAAAACTAAAGGAAATTCTTGCCTACTTCACCCATATTTTATTTTTGCAAAATAAGTAATGTGTTGTTCCAGTAGTTAGCTACACCGCTACATGGCAAAAAAGTAATTAACTACTGAAAACACTACCAAGATTTGAATTTAGTTCAACTGCCACCAAGCTACAGCAAAATGTCATTAAATTACTAGTTGAACCACATGTAACTCATTACTCCCCAACACTGGTCCTATAGCGGTACTCAATGGGACTCAGTAGGATCTCATGTATGAGAATGTCCAGGCCAAGTTCAATTAATTTGTAATGAGATTCAGTCAATCTGATAGTTGGCTACTACATCACATGGGCCTGGATGCCTGATAGCTGAAATCTAGCCATCCATTTCACACGTTGTAGGATAGGATATAGGATATATTTCTTAGTTACCATGGCTAGAGAAAGCTCTTTTGCAGCGTTGGGGTCAATTCCATTTCAATTCCAGTCAACTCAAAAAGTGAACCGAACTCCAATTCAAATTAAAAATGTTCCTCATTGAAAAGCATTGAAGAGAATTGGAATTGGAATGGAATTTACCCCAACCCTGCTCTTTTGATCTCCATTAATTAAACGTTTTTCCAGAGTTGAAAAGTTTCGCCAAGATTTAATGAATGGATGTATCCTAATGTTGAGTTTTACTCTTGATGCAAGACCATCTGCTGCAGGACATCAAAGAGCTTGAGGACCAATAAAACAGTTCAGTTAAACTAAGCAGAAGTGATTGACTTACTGATGCTTGGCAGCCTTCCTACACTCTCTCCTACTGATATCTGGTCATGCATTCAAGAATCAAACAGCTTGGCCATACTCATACAAATAAACACCTTTCAACCACTAACACTGACTCTGGAAGTAAAACAGAAAACATACAGTAGTACCTATCTATGTTATTCTTTGATACTATCTATGTTATTCTTTGATACTATCTATGTTATTCTTTGATACTATCTATGTTATTCTTTGATACTATCTATGTTATTCTTTGATACTATCTATGTTATTCTTTGATACTATCTATGTTATTATTTGATACTATCTATGTTATTCTTTGAAACTATCTTTGGTATTCTTTGATACTATCTATGGTATTCTTTGACACTATCTATGGTATTCTTTGACACTATCTATGGTATTCTTTCTTGGATACCTGTGGTATAGCCTACATTTTAGAGGAATTCATTACAGTAGCTAGGTTTCCATCCAATTGGCGACAGATTTTCATGTGAATATTCTAAAATCTGCATTTTCCCACCAGAGATGTTTCCATCAAATGGACTTGTTGCTGATAAAATACCGTGCGTGATGACGTAGTGCACATAACAATACCTTTTGTGATTAAATAAAAACTACAAGTTAAATGGGTTTCCATCGCATTTTCAAAAATGTTTACGTTATATAGCGAATATACCCACTCTGGTATTGGCACTTGCGCTCTAGCCAACAGCTCGGAGATACAGTGCGGTTATAGCCTACATTAAGAGATTATTATGGACAAAAGAGCAAGATTATTTGTATTCGTCAAACGGCAGCCAAGCTTCGATGATCATGTCACCAGAATATGACCCTCAGTATTTATTGGAAAGGAGCATCAAGCTCATCACTGTGCACTTTCACCACCATGTGAAGTTCATCATCATTTATTTCATCTGTAGCCTAATAAACTGTTCGCTTTCACGACAGAGTCGTAATGGGAGGACCACACAACATGTCATCGCGTGACCCTTACTTCGATATGATTGTTATTATATCAATATTTGTTTCCGCCGACATTTCTCGCATAATTACTTTTACTGACACAAAAAGATCCCACCTTGTCTAACGTATTTGGTTTTGTCGAAATTTGGAAAGTTTACCGACAAATGTTGTGTTTCCATCATGCCTGTCATTACAGTTTTTTATCCGACATGTACTTTACTCGCATGAAACGGGTGAATGGAAACCTGTGCCCAGATTCACAAAACCTTCTTAATAAGTTGCTATTCCTCAAAAATGTTATTTTAAATTTTCTTATGTTTCTCCTTAAGCAAAAAGTTAAGAAGAAATGTGATTCTTGAAAATAAAGTTATTGGATTTGTTCTTAATTCCAAGATAGCTAAACCCTTGTTTTAAACTCTGGGCAGTGAGCGAATAAGCTCATGAAAGCAATTGAGCATGTTTAATTCACTCACAAACGTGATCTGAAAGTGTCAGTATTGATTATTTTAAACCCAAGAACATGTTTTAGAACAGTAATCTCAGTACGAAATATGCTAACATGATTGCCATTGCTAGCTAGAAGTTCATAAGAAAATCATTCAATCTTAAAATATTATTGAGGAATTGCCCTGGGCCCAGATTCACAAAACACTTCTTACGCAAAAACTTAAGAAGCTTCTAAAAAGTGCAATTCGTCAAAAATGTCTTATGATTGAATGATTTTTTAAAATCTGTGCCCTGGTTAGTAACTGGCATTTTTTAAATTTACTTTTTGCATTATGTGTGTAATAACATCTGCAAATCTGTGTAAGCGATAAAATAAACTTTGATTTGATTTGGTTTGATTTAGGGTTACAAAAATGTTTGGTTTGCATGGTGGACTTTTGTGTTGGTTCACTGTCATAGGCCTAATTGTATTAAAAATTAAGAGTTATGCAAAAAAGTATTTTATTTATTTTATTGTGATAGCTACAAAACTTTGAGCACCCATCACCTTATGACAGCAGTGATACTGTAGGGGTTGGTTGGCAGACTTTTTACTCTGGTGTGTATTTCTCAGCACCAGTATATCTTACAATACTCTTTGTAACGTTAATGGAAAGACCAAATCTACTGTAGAGATAGCCTGCAGAGCTCTATCATACTATCCAGGTCTGTGCCCAAACAGTTTGAGCTTCTACTTCTAAAAATCCACCTTTCCAGAAATAAGTCTCTCACTGTTGCCGCTTGCTACAGACCCCCCTCAGCCCCCAGCTGTGTCCTGGACACCATATGTGAATTGATTGCCCCCCATTTATCCTCAGAGTTTGTACTGCTTGGTGACCTAAATTGGGATATGCTTAATACCCCAGCCATCCTACAATC